GTGGTATGGTTAGTTGTTAGTGAATATATTAAAATAATATATAAATAAAATAATTAATGTTGATTTGAAGTAAAGTAGGAGAAAAATGATTGGGAGTAATAGTTAGTTAAATTATGTGAGTGGATAAATAGTGAATTAAAGTTGATGTGATGTGTAAGAATGATTGGTTGATATTATTTAATTATATTGATAATATGGAAAATAATGGGGTTGAGTTAAATGTTTTTTGATTGATTTTTTTTCCTGTTGGAACCATAGCAATCGCCCCCTTATTAACTATGATTGGAAAACAATAAATTTATCTATCAAACCTATTATAAAGTATAAATACTAAAAATATTGTAACACAATGCAGTCAATTTTACAGGTGAGGTGTATTATTTTAAATAAAAAATAATGTTATTTTGTAAGAATTATTTAAAATTTTAAAATTAGAACTTGTATTTATATTTTTACAAATATTTAATATAAATTTACAAATATTGATTGATATGTTATCAATCAATACCAATCATATCCTCTCCTCTCTTTCTTTCTCTTTCTTTCTTTCTTCATATACTTCACAATCACCATCAAATCTCTATGCTTAGTACCTTAAAAAATCTCCACACAAATCCTGTTTACTCCCTTGATCAGTTGATCATAGCTTTCACCTTTATATAAGTTGGAATCTGTTGTGAAATGATGACAATACGAATTAAAGACGAGAAAGTAAATAACACAAGATTTACGTGGTTCGGCAATGTGCCTACGTCCACGGCGGAGCAGTGATCTTAGTGTTCACGATAATCCCAAATACATCAATACACAATGTATTTATATCATAACCCTACAAGGTATAAATTTACATAAATACCCCGTATCGTACCGCGGGGGCTCCGCCCCCGCACCCCCGGCCCAACTAACCGACCCAGCCCAACAGAGGGCTGATGCCTGCTCGTTCCACTCACTCTACTCGGACGCTCCGCTCCCTCGATAAGCTCGCTCCACTCCCAAGCATCAGCATGCCCCCTTCCTTTGTCAATATATGAGCCATACCAACAGAACCTTTTGAAGTCTCTTCAATGGAACAAAAACAACACCAGCTCAAAATTCTTATGTTTCCATGGTTAGCTCATGGCCACATATATCCCTTTCTTGAACTTGCCAAAAGGCTCTCAACAATAAACTTCACCATCTATCTATGTTCGACTCATGTCAATTATGAGTTCAGTAGCTTGAGCGTGAAAATAAAAGGGAGTGCGCAATCAGAGATGAATGAAGTAGAGCAAGAACTAGTCAAGATTTGTCTCATGAATAAAAAAACAAGTGTGATGTAATTTTGTTTAGCAAGTATTTGTTATGGCAAGTCCCAGTAGCTTGATGAGTGAAAACCACTATTTTCATTATTAGTTATGGTTCATGTTGATCGTAGAATTTGATCAACCCAAAGCACCAATTTATTACTAATAACAAGTTAATTAAACTATTAGAAAGTGGTATAATTTGGGGAGTTTACATAGAATCAAGCATACACGAGGCCGGGTATTTTCGAATTTGAGGTCGGATATTTGCCTTAAAGGTTGTATTAAATGAATGAATATATGTCTTGATATAGCACATAAGAATAGCTCGGTAGAACCGGACAATACTAGCTCGGTCTATGGACCAGAGTTAGCTGGGACGATGGATTTGATGAAGCTCATCCATATTAATAGCTCGGACATCTGAGTAGCTAGGCTAGTGAGAGAGCTAGTTACAGGGAGAGCTCAATATAAGGAAACCTAGTTACAGGGAGAGCTCAATATAAGGAAACCTAGTTACAGGGAGAGCTCAATATAAGAAAACCTAGTTACAGGGAGAGCTCAGTATAAGGAGATCTCGTTACAGGGAGAGCACTGTATAAGGAGACCTAGTTACAGGGAGAGCTCAGTATAAGGAGAGCTCGTTACAGGGAGAGCACTGTATAAGAAGAGCTAGTTACAAGGAGAGCTAGTTACAGAGAGAGCTCAGTATAAGGAGAGCTCGTTATAGGGAGAGCATTGTATAAGGAGAGCTAGTTACAGGGAGAGCTCAGTATAAGGAGAGCTAGTTACAGGGAGAGCTCAGTATAAGGAGGGCTAGTTACAAGGGGAGCTCGGTATAAGGAGAGCTAGATACAAGGGGGACTCTTTAGCTCGTCCTAGCAACTGCTCGGCATAGCAGAGAGGCTCTAGCTCGGCCTAGCAGGGAGACTCATTAGCTCGTCCTAGCAGGGAGGCTCATTAGCTCGTCCTAGCAACTGCTCGGCCTAGCAGATAGGCTCATTAGCTCGGCCTAGCAGGGAGACTCAATAGCTCGGCCTAGCAACTGCTCGGCCTAGCAGGGAGACTCAATAGCTCGGCCTAGCAACTGCTCGGCCTAGCAGGGAGGCCCATTAGCTCGTCCTAGCAGGGAGGCCCCTTAGCTCGTCCTAGCAGGGAGGTTCATTAGCTTGTCCTAGTAACTGCTCGGCCTAGCAGAGAGGCTCACTAGCTCGGCCTAGCAGGGAGACTCATTAGCTCGTTCTAGCAACTGCTCGGCCTAGCAGGGAGGCCCATTAGCTCGGCCTAGCAGGGAGGCTCCTTAGCTCATCCTAACAGGGAAGCTCATTAGCTCGTCCTAGTAGAGAGTTTCATCAGCTCGGCCCAGCAGGGAAACTCATTAGCTTGTCCTAGAAACTGCTCGGCCTAGCAGGAAGGCTCATTAGCTCGTTATAACAACAGCTCGACCTAGCAATGAGGCCCAGTAGCTCGTCACAACGGTAGCTCGCTTATTGGCAGGGTCTGGGAGTGTGAGGAGCTCGTCAGAGTAGTAGCTCGGTGCAATGTATCAGAAGGGTCTTTTAAAGAAAAGTCAATCGGTGGTGATACTCTACAAAGCTGAGGACCGACATGTGGAGGTGATTATAAAAGGCGGTCCACAAAGGACACGTGTATGGTCATGATCAAAGTGGAACAAATGATCCGACAGATGAAGAACAAAACGTATGGAGGAAACTAAATAACTCCATATAAATAGATAAATGGGGGCAGCAGGAAAGAGGAAAACTATTAGAAAGTGGTATAATCTGGGGAGTTTACATAGATCAAGCATACACGAGGCCGAGTATTTTCGAGTTTGAGGTCGGATATTTGCCTTAAAGGTTGTATTAAATGAATGAATATATGTCTTCCTTACAAAGATTTTTCTGAACACTTTCCTAAGGGATTCCAAAAACTATTATAGTAGGTATGGTCCCGTTACTATTGCTCAGGTAGTACAATTTTGAATGATATGGAAATGAGAAGCATTTAATGTTGCACATGACTCTATTGAGCTTTTTCGCGTACGTGAGCAGGCTTTTCGTCAGACTTGTCCCGTCATTAATGATGTGGGTGTAAGTTGCTACTATTCTAAGCTTTCTTTGTCACCTGAGTGTGATCGACTCAGGTCTTTGTGCATAAACCTCTATCAATTTAGCCAAGTCTTGAGCTCGGCCCTTCCGACTATTAGTATCTTCATTGGGTTTTTTGTGTGCAATTCGGTCGTACGTTGTCGCATGCGCTCTTGTGTACTATCTGTCGGGTCGATCCTACGACGAGGACCACTTTCAAGTCGAGCTCCTGTCGGGTCATCCGATGGCTCGAGTTCGACCTGTTGGTGTGTCGAACCGACGACGCCTTCTTTGACCTGGGAATACGTCGACCTGGAATATTTCGAGTCTCCGTCAGATCCATACAAATCATTTAACGGGATTATGCTTGGCTTTCGGCTGGTCGATCCCTCAACCAGTTGTTCCTTCAGGTCGAACTTCTTCCAGGTCGAATTCGACGTATTTTTATTCCTAGGAACTATCATTCCTTCTCAGTTCTCCGACCAGAGTTACATATCTATTTAGTTGCATTTATCAACTCCGTATTCTTCCAGCTCAGCTCGGGTGTCAACAGTTCTAATTAGCTTTTGTCACTCAAATTGACATTATATGGTTATTGAATATCACTATTGTCACCCAAAAATATTTAAAACCCCAACTTTTATAGAATAACAATTCAAAGCCTAGCAACTTTAGTCTACTTATCACATCACAAATAAAAAAATGGAGATCGCAAAAATAGATAAGAAATTGAAGACCGTTGTCGCATTGTGATGCCGCATTACAAATTATAAATTTTATTGAAAAATGTAAATTTATAAGTTGAACTGATAACTGTGGAAGTTGACTGCAACAGTGAAAAGCTGATCTCTCTGCATTTTCACAAGTGACCACGAGTTGAGATGCAACAAACTAGAATTTGTCAGTTTTCCTCCACTAGCCTCCACTAATTACTAGAAGAGGCGAGCAAGGTCGATTCACTGAGTAGTGTGAATTAATTCGTAATTAATTTTATTAATTAAAATTTAAAAAATAATAAAAGATGGTAGGTTGAAATTTAGTAGGGTGTTTTCAATCGCAACTTTTAAATACTTTTCAAATTGTGGTGTATTCAATTAAAATATTTTGACTTCTAAAAAGTCTATTGATATTCACTTGAGACTATTAAAGATTTTTTTTATAAATTTCTAAACATCTCAAGGTATTCATTGAAATTTTCTAAAAGTCTCTACAAGTCATCCAACATTCAAAGTATAAAGACTTTATGAGACATTTAAAATTGAAAGACTCTTGGAGATTTTATTTAATTATAGTAAAGTGCACATGGCACGTGGTGGTGAATGTTTTTTGCCGAGTAAGTGTAATAAAATAAAGTGATTTATTTTTTAGTTATTTCTATTCATACCTTTTCTAAGAAAATTCGGACTTTTACTTTTTCTCATTGCATTACTATTAGTTTACTTTACTTGTTTCTTATTTTGTTTATTTATAACTAATATTTTATTTGTTGAAATTATTAGAGCACATTTATATGTATTGCGTCATTTTTTTGTACGTGTTTGTATAGTGATGTTATCATATTATCTTTTTTATTAGGCTACAACTAATATAATCACATACGATAAATACTATCAACACGAACTTACAGTTACTGAAGTCTACAGTTGGGCATATAGATATAGTTTTTGTCATAAAACATTACAAACTTAGAAAATTGTAAATCTGTCAAAGATAATATGATACACACTGCAGATGCCCAACAGAGGAAAAAGAAGACCCGAAACAAGACAGGGAGAGTAAACTCTAAACTATATAAGCCACCATGATGATAAAAAGAAAGAAAGAGGTATAGATTGAATCAGGGAAGAAAGAAGATGTCCAATGATTAATTTGGCAATAATACCAACATAATTTGCTAGTGGGATAAGTTCGGTCTTCATGTTCGGGCTCTGAATCTCCAAGAACATGAGACGATCAGAACCCGCGATTTGGCTTTATCACTTGAGACTAGAATATTAATAATTTGTAAAAAGAACCACATACATTATAAAAACTATAAATTATGCTCAACCCTCCATGCTGTACTCATCTTGCTGCAAATAAGGACTATAACTCCCCGGTACTTCCATCTTTCCCATGAACTGGTCCATTCCTGCATTTTTTCAATTACACCCAATCAAAAATATAATCAAAACAAATATATAAAAATAGAACCAAAGTAAGTACTTACTTGTATTTGACAACATACTCCCATAGAACGACATCTGGCTCATGGCCTCACCGAACTTGGAGCTTCCCTCCTGAGGCAAGGCAGAGTCGTGCTTCCCCGCGTGCAGGTCCACAGGATGGGCCCGCGGGCTCTGAAAGCAGAGCTCCTGATTGGGCCTGGCAGGCAGCATGGGCTGGAACTCGTCTTCGGGCTGCCTAGTCTTCTTGTCATTGGGGGACTCAACCTCAGTTTCGACTTCAGAGTCATTAGTGGATGGGGCAGATTGCTGCTTTCTCTTTGAGCGGGCCCGCCTGTTCTGAAACCAGTTGTAGACGTTAGTCTCGGATATCTGACCGTGTTGAGACAGCTCAGCAGTTATCTCTTTGATCTTCTGCTTGCTCGGGGTCCCGATCCCCTGGTCGAATATGCGTTCTAAGATCTGGAGCTGCATTGGAGTTGGGGTCCAACGTTGCCTCCCGGAGATTTTGTGGGCCCCACTGGCTATTAATGGGTCGCAGTATAGGTTACCCAGCCTCACACCTGATTGATGAGAGAAGCAAGAGTTCAACTTTTTCTTTCTTTTTTTTTTTTTTTTTTTGCTGGTATTAAATTACTTTTTGGAGGGAAAAGGAAAAGAGAAGACTATATAAGAAGAACAATCAATAGATGAAGTAGTTTATTTATGTAAGATATATGAGGTGTGAGCATTTATGCACTATGGGGAAATGGGAAGAAGGCAGTGTTTGCGAATGGATGTTGAATATTGGTTGAGTTGAAAGGGGAGACTTTTGCTAGGGAAGTTGATCAAAGTATGAAACTAACTAGAACCCTTTTCCTTCATCTTCCGGGTTCGGTTCAAATGAAATGAAATCATCACATTTGCAGACACCAATATATGTGGATTTCTATTTTTGATTGAGTTGAAAAGTTGTGAATAGATTCTTTTTCCGGCGAGTGTTTGTGAACATTAACAAGCAAAAACAACACTTTGTAGTGGTGATCTATTTGATAAGATGCATACTCTATTTGACTTGCACTTATAGGAACTACACCTTTTCTGTATAAAGAATGAAGGCTTAGCATGATAGGGATAACATATTCAAGCCCAACAAATAAAAATATAAAAATATTGAAAATCGCAACAAAAATGATCTTTCGAGCAGACATCCACAAGCAGTTATTGCTAATCGCTACTGCCAGAGATTAATCATAATTAATTGCAACTCTAATTATGCAGATAGTTCTAACTGGATCACTAACTACACCATAAATCCATTCATGGAAGACATTAAAACAGTTCTAAAGATCATGGTACGAATAGCTATCAGTTAGTCCCAATAGTAAATTTCAATCAACAAGAGCAAAGCAAAGCAGCCCTTAAGAGAAGAACATAAACCCAAAACATAGTCACAAACAAGTTATAATCCACCTTCACTTTTCGTATCAGATTAAAAAAAAAAAAAAAGGAATCTTTTTTTGTTTAGAAAAAATTGCGCAACACAATACCCACCGGCAAGATCGTTCTGCGAAGTGAGGGATTTGTGTAGCTCGACGAGCTCCTCGCAAATGGTGGCGTACACCGCTATCTGCTTCCTAAGAACCTCCATTTGCTCGTCGGTCATCACCTTCACAAACATCCCGCCACCAACGACGCCGCCGCCCGCCTCCTCCGCCGCCCGCGGCGGTTGCTTTTCCCACTCCATCGTTCCACTTTTTCTTTACTACTATGAAATTTGTTGGTAAATAATTGACAAACAGGAAAAAGGTAGCGACGAAGCAAAGCAAAAGAGGGTCAGAGCTGCAAATTGTTTTGTGTGTGTGTGAATATGCGAATTATATAGTGTGTGTTCATTTCATTTTCTTTCTGGGTTTTTTATTGTGTTATTTGAATAAAGACAAAGGGATACTCTCTCATGAGCACAAACTAATAGTGAAAAGGCTCAAATGTCTTCAATTGTTACCTTTTTTATTCGCCGCAATTAGCGGGTGTGGGTCCCAATCGAATCATAGGAATTCGGTGATCTATGGAAAAATCTGTTCTTTAATTGGACAGCATGGGCCACGTCATCATAATGAAAGGCCGGCACTACTTTATTATGGGATTTTTAATTTTATATTGGGAAGATTTCTTTTGTAGTATATTTTAGTGTGTTTCTTATTTCCATTTTTCATCTCTTAATTCTTATGATGGGGTATACCATAGTACTTACTATGAGCTCGCTTGGTTTAAAGGTAGCTAACTCGTACTACAAGATAGTTGGATTCAATTGGAAGTAGTTTGGACAAACCTGGCTTAGGTCGTTGGGGCAAGGGACACGTTGAAACCGGTGCACACGAGCTAAAGAAAATTGATACCATATCGTGTTGGGACTCTAGGATGGTTTGTTAGATGCTCGATCTAGACCTAAGGTAGCTATGTAGCGAAAGTCCCAGAAGCATTAACCTAAAACACTATGCAAGTATGGAAAGCCTAAACATGTGAGGAAAAGATTCTCACAAATCTCTGAAGATCTTAATACGATTTTGATGGTAGATTAACAAGGTAACCTATATAAATAGCTCGAGAACAAGTATGAAAACCAGAAGTCACAATATCAGTAACATATAACATACATTGAATTGTTGAAAGAGGGGTTCTGATTTGAGCGTCGGAAATTCTACGTCGGGATGCCCTTCAGCATTGTCTTGCAGGTAATCGAAACGGTTCAGTCATCATTAAACTGGATGGAGGTGTTTACACACATCAATTGTCGTTGTTTTGTGAGAATCAAGTTAAAAAAAGTCATCAAACCCAGCTATAACAAATGATTAT